CACAATGGCAGATGTACAACGTTTCGACTAGGTTTTATCATCATCAGTTGTGTTAAACTTATATTAAAGTTTTTCTTCATTACCCATTCAAGCCGTCTCCAACCATTAAAATGTCAGTACTTATATCTGATGATAGTATAAGTTTATGTACAAGATTTGTGGCATAAAGACAACTCACTAAGAGATGATTGTTAGGAAGACAGAATATTTGGATTTTGTATTGTTTTTCACTTTTAAATTTCTTCAGTAATTAAAATAATTAAAGTACAGAAATCTTTGAACTCATCATAAAATTTAGATAATTTAGTCATTTAATTTTTGTTTTCATTCCTTAGCTTGATTTATTAGGTATCAAGAAAATTATTGGTTTCTATTTGTTTGTTCACTGACATCTAGTGGCCATTTCTTTACATGTTATTTTGTACGTGGTAGTGTTACTTTCTGCAAAAAATAAATAAATAAATAATCATTAGAAGGAAATTTCTTGGAAGGATGAGACGCAGATATCTATAAAAATGTATTCATTGAATGTGAGTAAATATTGTGTTCTTTTTTAATTCATATAAAGTAGTTAGCTACTGAGGGAGTGTTCCTGTTTGTTTTGTAATTTAATTGTATTAAACCTTGAAAGAAAGTAACAACAGTTCGTCTCGCAGGACTATCTCCTTGGCTGTATGTCGTCGCAGAAAAGTACTGAAATGGATGATGAAGGCAAAGCAACACTGGTTGAGGTAGATATTTTTATTATTTTGTTGGTAACTGTCCCAAATCATGACTTACAGGAACTTTCTACTAATCTGAAGATTTACGTAACATATATCATTATATTTTAATGAGGTTTTCATTGCTTGTTAAGAAAATAATAAATACCTTGTTATATTATTGTTATTCTAAAGTTAGATCTATATTTAAAAGCTGAATCATGTTACTAACAAGTAGTTTTTTGTTGTTTTTTTTTTCATTTCTTTTCTGTACAAAAGTATTTAACCCTATTAGAAAGATGGGTTAAAGTTTGATCTCAGTAGATGAAGTGGTAGCTTTATTTATGGAAAACTTGTATGTTTCCATTGTAACTTAACGACTACAATCACTAGATTCATTCACGTTACGAACATAAGTTATCATTGTAAAATGTGTACGGAATACGTATCTAATAGCAATCAAACATGTTTTTTGTTAGGAATTTTTTTCCGCAACTAGCATAGCAGTTCCAGAAATGGAGGGCAATCTTTACTTAAAAAGTGATGGAAAGAAGGCCTGGAAAAAATACTTTTTTATTCTTCGGTCTTCAGGCTTGTATTATAATCCAAAAGGAAAGTCAAAGGTAGTATTTTCTTTTTCTAGAGATTTAACAGATGTTTAAGAATCTCTAAATTTTATATCTCGAAACTGAAACAATATGGCATTACTAAAAAATAGCCTTGGAAATGTGTATTTGTACATGTTTAGAGAAAGTTACCTTATAGGTCTTGTTTGTATGAATAGCTGAATACAGTCAACTTTGTGTTTTTTACTAAAGAATGGCGCGTAGATTTCCAGTTCCTCTTGTTTGATGGAACTGAAATTAGTTAAATAATAAAACTTTCTTTAAAAACTTTCATTTTATGTTCCTTTTTTTTTATTATTATACATTTGTGAATAATTATTCTCTGTTGACCACAAATATTTGAATTGGTTTTATTTAAATCTAACAACGGTTCACTTAACTATTCTCTGTTGACCACATGTATTTGAATTGGCCACAAATATTTGAATTGGTTTTATTTAAATTTAACAACGGTTCACTTAATTATTCTCTGTTGACCACAAGTATTTGAATTGGTTTTATTTAAATTTAACAACAGTTCACTTAATCATTCTCTGTTGACCACAAGTATTTGAATTGGTTTTATTTAAATTTAACAACAGTTCACTTAATTATTCTCTGTTGACCACAAATATTTGAATTGGTTTTATTTAAATTTAACAACGGTTCACTTAATTATTCTCTGTTGACCACAAGTATATGAATTAGTTTTATTTAAATTTAACAACAGTTCACATAATTATTCTCTGTTGACTACAAGTATTAGAATTGGTTTTATTTAAATTTAACAACAGTTCACTTAATTATTCTCTGTTCAAGTTCTACTTATTATGAGAAGAAAATTTAGAATTTTAAAACAGATTTATGTTTTAGAGCTGTTCCTCTGTTGCGATTTGCATCTTATATGTTGTACAAGTAATGTTTAAGTTAATATAAAACATGTGGGTAAAAGTGACTGTTTATATAGCTGTCGAAAGACTTGGTGTGTCTTGCTAGTTTTCAAATAAACCACATCTACCAAGGTTTTGGTTGGAGGAAGAAGTACAAGTCACCCACTGACTTTGGATTTGCGATAAAGGTACAGTAGTAATTTATTTAAACAGAAATAGGAAGTTTTTTAATAAGTAGAAAGTATCATGGATGAATGTTTGAACCTTTAAACCAATCGTATGTATTGTAAGGGATGGAACTGTAATAAACCTTCATAACAAGTGAACTTAGAATGTCCTAATTACACTTTCAGAGTACGTTAAAAGTTTTCGTGTATTTAATCATTGGATTTCATCATAGCACAAAATGTAGCAATAGATGAGTTATATATTATTATTATTACGTACGTCGTTTATGAAAATTAATTGCAGTTGTACAGAACTCGTAGAATGATCAAATCAGTAGATACTGCTTCCCTCCCCCATTATCGTTGAAATGTGAACTTTTGTTGTTGTTTTTACTGTATGCTTATATGGCAAGTCAATAGATAAGGTTTTAGTAACTAAAATTGAAGAAAGTTATCTGCTATTCACTTATCAAAGCTTGGGGTCTTTGTACTAAAGTAACGAGCAAGAACAACGTCCACTTGCACTAAAATAATGAGCAAGAACAACGTCCACTTGCACTAAAATAACGAGCAAGAACAACGTCCACTTGCACTAAAATAACAAGCAAGAACAACGTCCACTTGCACTAAAATAACGAGCAAGAACAACGTCCACTTGCACTAAAATAACGAGCAAGAACAACGTCCACTTGCACTAAAATAACGAGCAAAAACAATGTCCACTTGCACTAAAATAACGAGCAAGAACAACGTCCACTTGCACTAAAATAACGAGCAAAAACAATGTTCATAATATCTCTACCCTGTTGGTCTTTAATATACTGTACAGATATTGAATTAAGAAGTCAGAAAGTTTTAATCTGTTCATGTCAAATTTCTCTGATATGTAACTAGAAGATTAGCTTGAAAAGTTTTCCAGATATAATAATGGTAAATAGACAAATAATAATGTTATTAATCCTTACCCTACAACACTGATTAGTAAATGACTTAAATTGATAGTAATTACATTTTACTTACCTAGTCTAGTTGTTATGCACGAAGGTTGATATAAATAGTGCCTTGGCCACAACTACGACTGTTGTGTCCCAGCCAGCCTGATGACCTGTAGTATTGGTTGAAAGACCTCGTGTGGGTACTGGATAGGGCAGATGTAGTATGGTTGACATATTCAACTTGTATGTTCTTAGAAGTAGAATACATTTGATATGAATGAACATACTATTAGTGCCATAATTAGAATTGTCTGATACGGTTGCATAGTTTATGAACATACTATTAGTGCCATAATTAGAATTGTCTGATACGGTTGCATAGTTTATGAACATACTATTAGTGCCATAATTAGAATTGTCTGATACGGTTGCATAGTT